AGTCAGGGTCCGTCGTTCCGGGCAGGGCAACGGCAGGGCAACGGCAGGGCAACACCAGGGGGGCAACGCCGGGGTTGGGGCGGGGCCAGGGCACAAATCATCAACCAAGTTAGACATCACGTCTCTCACGGCTGGATTAATTTTTCGCGGCTTAATCTTCTAACCCCTTCTCTTGTCTCCTTCCGTTATACCTCTACCAACAACCCTCCCCCGTCCTCCCCCCATTCATCTGCTCTTCCCGCGTTCTATCGTTTCCTCCCTTTCCTCGAATCCCGCCATCGCGAATCGGAGAAATATTTGCGTTTCTTTTCTTTTCTTTTGTCGTTAAAAAATTAATCGGAGAAATGACTCGGAAGTGGATCCATCCCCAAGTGTCTTCTAAATGAAAAATACCGAGAAAGAGAGAGAGAGAGAAACCGCAAATTTCATCCAATTATCGATCCCAATTATATTTGTACATTACTGTAAATAAAACGCGAAAGCGGGCATTCGCTCTCCTCTTCCCCCTCTCTCTTTCGTTGTTTTTCTTTTTCTTTCTCGTCCGCGTTCGTAATCGGCTAATTAGAGGAAGGAATTCGATAATCAACGTGCAATTTCCCGAACCGTTCTCGCTTCCTTTCTTCAACTTCCGCCACCGTCACCGAGTTGTAATAAAATATCGGCCGTTCCCCGATAATAATTTTATCATCCTCTTTATTCTCTGTTGACAAGTGTCCTTTGATGAGATAACTTGTTTCGCGCCACTAATTATTCAATACTCAATGACATAGGCAACGGGATATCTTATTGTTCGTATAATCCGTGGCCATATATTGGCCGAATTTGGATGAAAGATCCAAGCTCGATCGCGCAATCACATCCAACTTTAATAAATCACCTCCGTCCAACTTTTGTTGTCGATCGATCGCAAAGATCGCCTGTTTCGATCGTCTATTACTCGCAAATATTTCTCCGTGCGCGCGGCAATACTTGGCAATAAATATTTTTCCCCAAATTGTTTCCTCGGCCAACTCGAAACGAGCGACGCTGTCCGAACATAAAGAATTCCCCCCGTTTAACGAGGGACACGCGCTGCAGGGAGCTGGCCCGCAAAGGGGGCGCCAGCAACCAATGGCGGACACACGACGTATCGAGTGGACAGTAAAAAAAAAAAAAAAAAAAAAAAAAAAAAATTATCCCTCGAGATTTTTCTTTCTCTCGCTCCTCGGATTTGTTATACAGGGTGATTCTCTGCCGATCGACTCGAAAGTAGCGCCATGCCGTTGAATAATCCCATGATTATTGTTATTATACAACGGTGTCCAACAGTCGATCATGACGCGATAGAGACTTTTCTTTTTCTTTTTCCTTTTTTTTTTTTCTTTTTTCGCTCTTCTTCATCGACAGATGCGTACAGAAATAGGATCTGATACCGCGATGGAGCGACACTGCTTTCGTAGATCACTCGACGGCGAGTGGATCACTCTGCATGCGTGCTTGCTGCCCTCGTCGAGCGCTCAAAAAATACGTACGAACCGGCTTTACCGACGATCACGATTATAATACTTACGACCAGGGACAAGATCGAGTGGGAATGACTCGTTTACGATTGGTTAATTCCATACGCGTTTATCGCAATTCTCGATGGTTTCATGTACAGATTGCTCGTCAGGAGTTCCTTGGAGAAGAGGAAATAGATATGGACGAGGAGCGCTTCAGATGCGATTCTCGATAAAATCTGACGGAATGTTATTCTACTGCGCGACGTTATGAATTTCGAGCAATTATGAGAGAAACAATTGAATGGAACTTTTTAAAAGAATAATTTTTAATCTTTATTTTACAATAGCTAACTTTGATATTGAATATTTTACTTGATTTCTCTCTGATAATTGATCGAATCTCTCAAAGATAAGAAAAATTACATTCGTATTTCTCTCAGGGAACAAACAAAATTCTGAGAGATTCAGGTGTGAAGCATTCCTCGAGAAAATTCATAGACTGGAAATAATCCGGATGAATCGGCTACGAGTTTCTTATTCTTTTCTCATTTTCTCCGTTCTCGACAAGATGCACGACACTCGAGAGCAACGATTAAACCCAACGCGTTCACCGCGTCGAATTCCACTCTATTTTGTCCCTGAGTCCACGTGCTCTTAACGTTTTACGCGTTTCGTCGTGAGAAACGGCTGGCATTGAAAACGCTCTACATTTAAAAAAAAAAAAAAAAAGAAAGAAAGAAAAATACACGCGTATCGAATCGTCTCGACTCGTATTCCGATCGATGAGCACCGACCGTCGATTCGTCAGTCGATTGAAACGCGAGCTTAATCGACCCTTAAACTCGCGTTTGCGATTCTCTCACGAACAACGATCAACGAAACGGTGGTGGAAACTCGTTTCTAATCGTAAATGCCGCATATGTGTGCATCGATCCGGGCTAAATTTCTTCTTAATTTTATCGCGAGGTAACGCGAGGTCGCGAACCTTTGTGCTCGTCGCGTCCCTTCGATCTTCCGCAGGGTGAGCTCTCGTCTCGGCGTCTCAAGGACGGTGTGGAAAGAAACACCGAGGCAAACGATCGAACGTATTGCGCAACAACGACATCGATCCAGATACTCGCAAGTGTAATGCCTGTTACGTGCTCGACCGAATCGAACCGAATCATAATTAAAACGTCGTGTATGAATAAAATCATGTTCTATGAAAATATATATATATATATATTATATTTCTTTTCTTCTTTGCGGAACTCGAAGCGAAGAATTTAGCGCAGCAACTCGAGCTCGTTGTGTGGTGTGATTCTTTAAAACGGAATTTTTGCACGCGTGTTCGCAATTGATCTAGAAAAATAATCACTACGAGCTATTTCTCTTTCCCCTCTTTTTTTTTTCCTTTCCACGGACTCTCCCTGCGTTCGAGCGGAGAGTTTAAGTTTAAGTCCCACGGTTGTAATTTATATCGCGTTGCAACACGCTCGTTCCGACTCATTACCATCGATAATTAATCCTTTCGAGCTGGAATCGAAAAAAGGTTCGATCGGTATGCGCGTGCAACAGGCTTTACTCGAGCCGCATCTTTAATCAATCGT